ATATATATATATATATATATATAATATTTCGCTTTCTATCTAATGCTGAATTCATTTTATACGGTAATTTCAGAATGTGAGAATTGCGCTAATACTCAATTCAACATTTCTTTCATTAATAATGTAACTAACACCCATCCTTCAGACTCAATCTTCTGCTATTTCAATACATACGTTGACTGACTAAAACAAGGCTTAACAGTACTGTTTTTGAACTAATGATATTAGAGAAATGTCTATATGCCAAAAAGGCCATCAGATTAAAATGTTACTATTTTTTTCTCCCCAAAGAATGGTAAAAGTAGGGTGAAACAAGTATCAACTTTTTCATAAAAAGTAAAACATCTAGAGATTTTTGCCGAGAAATGACATCGCTTGAAATTCTTCCATGAACTAAATTTTTATTTTATTTTTGTTCCATAATGTCTCTCTCATTAACAGATTGTGATAATTATGTAAGTACATACCGTACTCACCTACAGAACAGTATAGTAATTTAGCGATACCGAAAGACTCGTAAGCTAAATAAATCTTATTCCATTCGTAATAAAAAAAAAAAAAAGCAATCGATATCATATTCAATATAGAAAGTGACTGGAAATATAAAATATATTCCAATAATCTATTGGTATTACTAATTCCACAATTGTTAAAATATTGTTAAATACCGTACTAAGCTTAATTTAGAGGTTCACTGGGAAATATTAGAGCTAGATGCTAAAGCCTAGGTAAACAAAAACATTAGCTAGTGATGTAACAATAAGAAAGTAAATGGGTAGACTGATATCCAAATAAAAAGACATCGGGTAAGAGATAAGGTGACAGATATGTGTATAAACAGGTATGACAAGCTTCTTAATACAATTTGTGGTAAATTTTTGAAAACAATTCATTTGAAAAGGTATTGCTTCTGTAATTGCCATTGTGAAAAGAAAGCATTCACTTTGTTTTAGCAGCTACCGTAACCCTAAGCTTTATTCAAATTACATTTCATTTGTTAACAGGTGGAAAAGTAATACGTCCATCACGTCTATCCGTCATCCAATGTGTAATAATTCGGACAATGTTAGAATGTCAGGTGTCACCGATTTATGCCATTTAATCTACCTCCCGGTTAAACAGTCGGTAATTCAGATGTATACAAAAATTCAGAATTACATTTAAATTCTGAAATTTTGATTTGAATATTTCTCAAAACAAAGTGCATCTTTTATAGACGGTTTATTTGGGGAATGTGCATCAAAAGAACATGTAGCTTTGATTGTTTCAAATCCGGTCGATTATGTTTTGAAGAAAATATTAAGCGCTCAGTTAGAACAACTTAATCGAGATGGCTATACCTTGGAAGATGCTCGAGCGCAATGTCTTATTGCATATTTCAAAGTGGTTTTAATGCTAGAACTCAAATATGATCTCAACTTTTGTAATGTTGTTAATCCGGAAAATATTTGGCGAATGTTACAGGTTAGTCCTTTTTTCCCTCTTTATCTGGACAACTACCTTGCAAAAATATACAACAATCTCGAAATTGAAATAATTGGTAGTGGAACAATGAGAACATGATATTTTGCCAATGAAATATTTGTTAAATTTTCCAGTTTAATTTTGCAAATCTTTTCTACCTGCATTCTTTGACTAAAAACCTTTGATTTGATTGTAACGACTATTTCAAAATATCATTTTTTTAATTTATTTTTGTCGAATTTCCAACTTGACCAATTATATTTTAACTCATTCAGCTAACCGATCAAATTCTGAATGTCCGATAATAGTGAGAATAAAATGAAATGACCAGTGCTTCTGACTTTTGAACCTTTGTTTCTGATCTTTCGGTTTGTTGACAATAATGATTCATCAGTCAGATTTGACGTCGTTTCAAAACTTAGTCGTTCAATTACAGTGCAATGTATATCATGTAGAAAAGCAATACAAAAAACCAAATATCATTCATATCGAAAAATGTTTCAATAAAATAATTCAGTAAACACGTTGCTCCCTGCAAAATATTGATTACAGTGAAAGACATCAGAAATCAACTTTTTAATTTATTGTATTATTTTTTGTAATGATTTTGAGACTGGCAGCTTTTTTCTCTCCCGCTCTTTTCCAATGACATTGCTTTTGACGTTCAACATCTCAAAAGTACAGAACAATAGCTTAGGAAGATCGTTTTCTCTATACCGACAAGTTAGAGGAACCAAGGATGATGAATAAAATAGCTTACTTCATGAACCTTATCATATGAAAATCTTCCTTTTTTGAAATTCATTGAATGACAATGAAAATCATCCTTTTTTGAAATTTATTAAATGGCATGCGAAATTATTGGTGCTGGAGGAAAACCGTAAGGAAATTATCGATTTCATTGCCCCGGCGCATCGAAATCGATTTGTTAAGTTTCTTCAAACTAATCTGATAATTACAAGAAATTAGAAACAACATCGCCTGACTTTTCGAAGAGTTTTCGAAAAATATCCAGTATGGAATCCTTTAGGGCTGTTCCGACAACAAATTTGTCTAATCCACAAACTCGCAAGCCTTGATTTTATTTGCTTGAGATTATATGTTATCATATTTGAGATATAACAAGATCGAAGCTGCCTTTTCAAAATTAGTTTTGGTACGAAAAAGTAGAATACAAACTTTTCAGTCAATAAAAGTGGCACTCGTTAATGATGTCACAAATGTTCGGAGTGTCAACGCAGATAACGAGTTGGTGAATAATTTCATGCATCAGCAACAACAGCAACAACGACAACAGATAGGTATTTTTACCGAGAATTGGTACATATAGAAGACGTTCAGCACATTTTAATTTTTTGTTCTTGTTCTATTAATGAGGGAAATTAGCTAACAAGTCTTGTTTTTCTATTCTCCTAGTTTTTTTCTAGACTCCACAGGTGATATAAAAAGCGATAACAGAGGTAATAACGTGAACGATTTCAATTCGATTCCCGAAAGAAATATGTTGAGTAACAGTAATATTTTCGAATCACTAGCATGGGATGCTGAAAAGAAAACAATTGATAACGATAAGAACATGCTGGCGGTGGAAACTTTCATGCAATCGGGTGTGGTCATTTTATTATCCTGAGTTCTAATTGCATCCAGAATTAACCAGAATTTACTCTGATATTCATGAAACTTAATTAGGGTTGTCCGTAAGGTCTCTCTTATTCATGATTAATATATGATTGCTCCTGCTTACCAATTGCCCTAAAATACGTAGTTTCAAAAACATTTTGATTAAAATAATCGCAATTTGCTTTAGTAACAGTGATCAAGTGGTTAACAAACAGACAAAAATAATAAAAAAGTAATGATATGTTATAACGTTAATTAAAATGAACTTGAATTGAAATAATGATTACAGCGGTCCCAGATTCTGGTGAGGAGGAAGAAGAACAGTCATTGAATTTCGTTGGCCATCATGCACCTGTTTTAAAGAAAGATATCGAGCATCTTGGTAATCAGAATACAGGTTAGTTGCAGTTTAAAAAAAATAATTTTGCTATGGTTGAGTTGAAATGTGCAACATTAAAACATTGTCCTTATGATTGACGAGATATGGTTGAGAACGTGATAATGAGGTGTAAAACAATGAGTCATACAAGGTAACAGAGCAATTAATACTTTTTCTCTGAACTTTTAACCATTGGGTTTCAAATTCACCGAATTGTTCGATCACTCACTGCAGCACATTTCCTGGCACTGTTGCACTTCCATATCACCTCGGGTAAACCAAATCGTCCAATCTGTTTTTCAGCTACAGTCCACAGTCATGTTTTCAGCTACAGTTGTCAACAAAATTTAGTATTGGAGTGTAGAATATGCATCCATCGGAAAACAAGTAGTAACCGACAATTGTTACATTTTCATTTGATTAAACTAAGCAAACTTATTGTTAGAAGGTTTTTTCATGTGGTTTTTAATGACATTTAATTTTCCTCAGGCTTGGAAAAAATAGAGCATAAAATAGTGAAAGGGATGCCATCATACCAGAAGGTAGACGGTAATCGAGTATATTTGAAAGTTGCAAAAGATTTGAATGGTGACAAGTTGCATCATCTGATCAATTATTTGGATTTCGCAATTGCAAAACCTAATCAGCTTATTTTCGATGATTTTCGGTACGCTTAATCATTACTTTTTTCGAGAAATGTATGGATATCAAATATGATACATTAGTCCATTTTACATACTTATTCATTTAGCAATTTGAATATCTTGCGATTTAAATATTTTGTGGAAGTAGTAATGCTTGGATTATGTCAAAGTCCGTTTAAGGCACACTGCCAAAACTGTCCCCAATAGCAAAAATATCAGCTAATTAATGGATGGATTATTTATGTGGCCGGCCTGTATGTCGAGATTAATCGGACGAAGCTAAATCCCCCCAGCCATTCTGCTCTACCTATTGCATCTTGAAAATCTAACAAGATTTAACACATTTCAATTATTATTATTTCATTAGTAAATGTAATTTTTTTTTTTTCGCAGACTGGACGGTGGTCAGTTATCATTTCGAGCCGGTCAATCAACCGTAACATTTCCACAAAACGAGAAACGTCTAGATTCGGTGGGAGGCATCGCAGAAGATGTTTGTAAGTATAATCTCTTTTTTCTCCCTTTTATTTTTTCATTTAGGCTTGAAATAATTTCCGGAATTTGGAATTTACCAGTTGTAATAACGATACTCTGTACCATTTCACTTTCATATTTTTACTGTTATAGATAAACGACGAAAAGACATCCAAACAATTTCTGGAGTACATGTTGACGAAACCGGTATTGGAAGTGGAGAAGTAAGCTGTACTTTGATAAATGTAAAAAAAAAATTATTTTCTGGTACCTTAGATGAGTTATCAAAGCAGTAATATTGCGATCATTACTTATCTTCATCTTTTCCATGTTATTATTATTAGTCCCCGAAGCGACATCTCTATAATATCTTTCAGGAAGCGGTACCGGTTGAAAGTGAGACCCGAGATCGTTTCTTTACACCGATACTTGCTGTAAGTGCATTTACACTAGTGCTGTTGGTAGCGATAATGGCGATTCATCAGATAAGGGAATATCGTAGGAAGAGACGTAAATCTAACAATCGAGAGCTTGAATCGCAAGAGTATGGTGAAAAGGCATTGCTTGCTTATCAGGATTTATGTCGGTATCAGATGGCTTTACATGAACCGGCAATCATCGCTGACGTTCATACTAATCATTCCAGTACAGCATCCTGGTTCGATCCTTTTACTAATGGTTCCATGTAAAAAGGGAAGTATGAAAACTGTTTAATATAAAATAGAATTTAAAACTCAAATTTTAAGGGTCGAAGAACCGGTTGGTCAGTCTAGCCTCGACATATCAACCGGTCATGTTATCTTGGTGAATATATTTTGCTTTTGCATCTTAAGTACATATTTTAATGTTTTAGTGTGTTCCCATCGAATTAATTTGATTCTGTACTTATCAGTCTATTATCAAAATTTTAAATTTTCAAAATTAGAAACTTTTTTATTCTGAATTGCTTATGTTATCTTTTTTTTCGGACGTATCTTATGAGCAAATAAAGCTTTTTTACCGGAATTTGGGAGTGAATAACAGAATAATTTATTGTTCTCTCCTCATTTATTTTCACTTCATCTCATGTACTCATAGCACTAGGTTCCTTTCTTTTCGCATTTATTATACTTGTTCCATATTTTTGTAATTTTTCAGTCATTCCTTCGTGACTATTTGAATGACAAATCAAAAATTGAAGAACAGTGGAAAACACTGAATGAATACACAAATTCAAATGGGATATCATCAATTGCGAGAGAAGAAGGAAATCTCAACAAAAATCGAAATCCATCTTGTCTTCCATGTAAGTTTCCTTTGTTAATTCAAATTCATTTATGTTTTATATAGAGCTCAATACATTATGGAAGTGTAAGGGCCTAAACATGACAATGACAGATGCTTGAAGCATTTCCTTTTCACATAGCAATTTCTCCATCATTTGGATATAGTTCTAATTAAGTCCGAGCTGGATGTCTTTTTAAGATTGAGATGAACAGTGGATGATATCGATCGCTACACAATGGGATATTTTCTTATAAATTCTATTATTATAGCAAAAGTACAAGCCTGTTAAAGCTGATATACAAAGCACCGAAAGTCTTTCAAAAATACTACTTTGGACAGCGTCTGCTTTGCGTTTGTTAGCAGGACTGCTATCTGAGGAAAAGTTACTAAACTGAATGATCATTGGTTAATTGGGGTGATCCCATTAGTTACACTTAATCGGTTCCTTTTAAACGAAATAAAAACTGTGAAAAAATGAATTAAATTTTAAGATTTTTCTGCACCTAAAAGTTGTAATCCCACAAGAGAGATGTCTGTCACCTGATTTCAAGACAAACTTTCATTTCAAGTGAGTCTTTCCTAGTTTTCCACTCACCTGTTCATGTCCCATTCTAGGGAATTTGCATTCTCTTCTTGAATAGAAAGCAAAAGAAAATGTTAACTTCATCAGGTGCTTTTACTTTTTCTTTTTTTTCTTTTTTTTTCACACCTCGTAAATAGCTAAGAAGAAGGAAGGCGGTAGCTTGCACAATCACAATAGCTTGT